ATTTTTTGTTAATCCATTGAAAGTCTAGATAATCAGTATTTTCAAGCTTAAAAAATACAGAGTTATTGTAGAAGCAATCCATGCCAATATTTAAAAATGTCTGTTCAGAAGAAAATAATGGTCTCCCAGACTTGCAATGGAGGACAAAAATTAAGAGAATATTAAATATATTTATTTGTGTGTTCCAAAAATTAGCAGAGTTTGTATGGGTTTGGAACAAGATGGGGGAGAATAAATTATGACCATTTTCATTTTTGGTGAACTAACCCTTTAAAGAGCAGCCCTTCACGTACATGAAAAGGTATGTGAATATTTCTCAGTGTCTTCAGATGGAAGCGAGTGCGAGTGAAAGACGGTTCATGATAAGTAAAGATTAAAAATGTCATTATTCATTGTTTGAAAAGTCATCATTCATTGTTTGAGTCCGGTAGTATTTTGAGATTTCATGGAAGGCGGTAATATTCTGAAAAGAGTTTATATTGAAAAATACGCAGATGTGGATTTCGCTTCAGAAATAGTAAAAGAGGCCGTTAAGCCTTCACGTACATGAAAAGGTATGTGAATATCTTCTGTAAAATCAATTCCTTTACTATTTTTTCAAAGCATTTCATAATTAATGACGTTAGTGCAACTGGTCTAAAATCATTTAAATTCTTGGTAACTTTACTTTTTGGCACAGGGACTATGTTAGATTTTTTTCCATATTTTGGGGACTTTTTGTACTTTAAGAGACTCTAAAATAATATAATGAAAAATTCCACATAATTGATCTGCACAGATCCTTAACACCTTACCTCCTATGTTATCAGGCCCTGGACTCTTCTTGACATCTACATTTTGAAAAAGACGTTTAACCTTATGAACTTCAGTATTTCCATAATTACTAGATAGTGTTCCCTGTTTTAATTCATTTATTTCCGCACTAAAATCATGATTGTCAAACCTTAAATAACACTCATTTAATTTATCCACAAAATTTATATTGGAGTTAAAAGCATCCAGTCTGATTATTTTGGTATCCTTCTCAATACCTGCCAAGGTTTTGACCCCCTGCCATGCTGATCTTAAATTTTTTCCATTCAGCCGCCTTCTACCTTATCATTACATTTTAACCTATCCTTCTGTATTTCAGCTCTCACCATCTTATTAATCTCTCTAACTTTTTGTAATTCTCCCATCGAAAAAGCTATTTTCTTTTTGTGCAGAAGATCTTTTGTTCTTTTTGAAATCCAAGGCTTATTATTGGGGAATACTCCAAACGAATCAGTGCAGAAAGAAATATACGCACACACCATCTCAGTAAGTTAGTCAATATTGCTTGAGGCTTCCTCAAAAACAGTCCAGTCTGTGCAATCAAAGCACCCCTATAAAGTCAATGAACTGTCCTCCGTCCAAACTTGGACTCTTTTTTCTTTTACTCGCTGTCTACGTAGCACTGATTTATACACAGGTAACAAATAAACTATATTATGATCAGAAAAACAGCAATAGATTTCATCGCTCCCTTAATTGAGCCATAACAGAGGTCAATTGTCTTATTCAGTCTTGTATTACAAGTAACATATTGATAAAAAAAAATTACTCGATGACTTGTTGAGCTTACAGTTATTAAAATCCCCAAGTATAAAATTCCAGCACAGCTTTAGAGGTCTGTGGCAGCGTTGGGATGAAGCCATGCAAGACATCAATATTTTCTGCCAGGTATTGCACTGCTTTTATCCAGGATCCCCATCTTGTCTGATAGCAAACGCTGGCATGAGAGGAGACAGGCACTGCGGCATCATGAAGGCCCTCAATTCAAGACAACGTTGGGGTGACTGGCAGAAAACACACTTTACCAAACCACACATCCGGTTCAGTTCTTTAAATGTGTCTGGAAACACCTCTAAAACCAACTGCAGCAGATGTGCCAGTCACATGGTCAAGGAAGGGATAAGGCCCTCTTCTTGGGGCTCTGCACTCTCTCCCTCTATCTTTCTCTCTCTCTCTCTCTCAGATAACATTTTACATACATGCTGGGTACATTTAACTGTTTATGTTTTTCCATCCTTCATCTATTTTGTAACCAGTTCAAGTGTAACCATAATGAAATACTGTTATTAAACCATTCCAATTATAAATTATGTGCTTGCTGCTAACTAGTCTCAATTCAACATTAACATTAAAGTGCTACCTATTGCAATACAATATAGTCACATAATATCAATGCTCTCCCACATATTTAGCTATTCTAACTGCGCTTATTTCCGTCAATGGTATAAGTGGCAGTGGGGGGGTAATAGACAAGAAAATAGACAATTTTATACCATTGTGCTGTTAACGTTTCTTTAGTCATTCGGCAATCCTACAGCCTGAACCACTGTAGAGAAACCACCCTTACAATCCTCATTTTTTATTATTCTCAAATGTTTTAATTAATTTTAAATAAATGTTTTAATCATTTTAACTAACTGCGCTTATTTCCGTCAATGGTATAAGTGGCAGTGGGGGGGTAATAGACAAGAAAATAGACAATTTTATACCATTGTGCTGTTAACGTTTCTTTAGTCATTCGGCAATCCTACAGCCTGAACCACTGTAGAGAAACCACCCTTACAATCCTAATTTTTTATTATTCTCAAATGTTTTAATTAATTTTAAATAAATGTTTTAATCATTTTAACATTTTAATACTTTGCTTTTATTGTTGTGATTATTTGTATGATTATTTTAATCCTTTTTTATGTAAAACACTTTGAATTACCATTGTGTAAGAAATGTGCTATATAAATAAACTTGCATTGCTTTGCCTTGAATATTATCCCTATACTGCCTTATTTACATAAAATATATAAAATAACAAGAAAACAAGTATTTTACCTCTGTTTTTATGAGCAAACACAGCTATCAGTATTCCAGCAATCACACTGAGCACAACAATCACGATGACTGATGTCCTCCAAGAATTAAACATATTACCTGCAAAACAAAACAGTAATTAAGCATTCTGACAAGATTATTAAAAAAATATATCATGTTCATTTCTGAATGGTACATAGACAGTAAAATGTTTTAGCTTTACATAATGTAACTGACTAAGCTGATAATCATTAAATATTTTTACTTCATCAAAAATACCATAAGAAGATGACAAACTTGCCAGTACTTACTTGAGCTGATAATCAGTGCCTCCAGCATGTGATGTCTCAGTTTGACTCTGCAGTGAATCTTGTCACTGTGATGTACAGTGATAGTATGTTTCACATTGAATCCCTCTGTGTTTCTGTGTGCCTCTGTAGTTTCTGAACTCAAACTGACTCCTGCACTGTCCAGCCACTCAAGATCAGGTTCAGGGTTCCAACCTTCAGATTCACACTGTAGATGAAGCCCTCCTGAATGATCAAACCCATCTACAGTGATCACTGGAGGACGTCCTACAGCTACAGACCAACAAGAAGAACATTCTGTTGTTGTTCTGGCTTTTTAAAGTTAGTTAGAGCATGTTAAGGCTGGAATACATTACACAACATTTGCCCCGATTTTCCCCGAATTTACAGTCTGGGGAAGTTGACGCTAGTTGAAGAAAGTCAGAGCAAGTCTGCTACCAACAAGAAGAACATTCTGTTGTTGTTCTGGCTTTTTTAAGTTAGTTAGAGCATGTTAAGTCTGGAATACATTACACGACATTTGCCTCGATTTTCCCCGAATTTACAGTCTGGGGAAGTTGATGCTAGTTGAAGAAAGTCAGAGCCAGTCTGCAGATTTGAGTTGACAGATTTCCTAGAAAATCATGTAGTGTATGATGGACACAGACTCCGATTTTTTAGCTTCAGACTTTGATTCCATCCAGTCGGAGATCAAGCATGTTTGATATTTTCAGCCGATTTTAGAACACATGTTGTTTTCATTGGTCATGCGTCTCCTAGCAACAAGGCGCATGTTTCTGCATGAGTTTGTTATTGGAACAACTTGAAAGTCTGGTAGTGTGTGATCCTCCGTCGTTTAGTGTGTGATGGCCAGCTTTCCTTTGTGATTATTTACAAAGTCGGTAAGTCTATGGTTTTAAAAGCTGTTCAGATTTTAGAAGTCATGTAGTGTATTCCAGCCTTTAGTTTTCACTGGTTTACTCACCTTCAACACTGACATTAACAGTGGCATCATCAGACCGGGATTTGGACTGAATGAAACATTTATAAAGTCCTTCATCAGAGACTCGGACTGATGAGAGTTTGAGTGATGCGTTTCCTCTCTGTAGTTCTGGATGATTCAGTTTTGTTCTCCCTCTGTAGGACTGAATCTGATCTGTATTTCTGTCTTCATGATTCTCATAGAGATGCACTAGTTGCGAGTCTTTCAGATCAGATCTAAACCACTCCACTCTCATGTCCACAACACTGATGTTGGGTTTGACTGAACAGGGCAGAATCACATCTTCACCAGCTACAGCAAACACAGGATCTGCAGGACCCACGACTTCATACCGCTCTGTTACAAGAGAAAGAAAGCAGGTCTAATTAAATGTGAACCTCCTGTCAGTTGAACTGTCAACCTTCAAGGGCTACAGCGTTCCCATGTAAAGCAGTAACTGTCCTTCTCCACACAGCTCTGCGTCCGATCATCTCTGCTTGAAAACACTGCTTGTGTGCATTTTTCCTCTGTTTTATTAAACATTAATAAATGGCTCTTTATAAACTTTATTCTAATTGCTCAATATTTCTGAATAATGATAAATAATTGACCTGGTCATTATCACACTAACTATAATTATAAATATAGTTCAGCTGGACAATGAATAGACATGAACACACACTTCAGCTCTTTACATGGGTGTGAATAATTACCTGATATTGAATCTGTAATTCCACTAATCATCAGCAAAGTCAAACAAATGAACTTCATCTCTAAAGGACACAAATGAAAATAAAACATTATAATAAACAGTCAACGCGTGTGTTAACATGCATGTGTTCGCTCTGAATACTTGCACATTTACATTTACAATTACATTTTACATTAGGGTGACCATATTTTCGTTTTTTTTTTTAAAAGAGTGCAGTGGGAGCAGGTTGTTGTGTTTGAGGGGGGTTAAAGAAGCCCCCAAAGCAGCGCAATGGCCATATCCCTTATCAAAACTCTAAATATGTCATCTCCATAACTAAAATATACGGAAGTTCTAAGCGGCCATGCAATATATATTTTTTCCTTCTCGAACAGTTGTATTGCATTTTGACTTCCTTTTTGTAAGGGCTTCTAATATATTTTTTAATTCATTTCTGAATATAATAAACAGAGAAGGGGGTTAAGGAATCTACGTTTTTGTATAAAATATTTTGCCAATATTATAATGTAATTAATCAAATAATATAAAACAAAATATTTTTTCTCCAAAAGCCGCACGAGAAATTGCATTAAAACATTTTACACAGGCATGTATCGAACAGGACGCAGACGTCATCAGTGAGCGACCGCAGGGTCCTTTCAGTCACTGTACGCCTGTCACGCCGTAGTTTCCAGTTTTCTACAGGTCAAACTACAGCAACAGCAGAAATGATCCGATCATTAAGTTCACTCAAATACTCTCTGAATGTCTGTCAGCGGGCTCATGTCAGGCTGTTGTCATCCAGCAGAGGGGTCGGGAAAAGTATAGTCCCCGCCACATTCACTGGAGGTACATGGTTAACTTCAATAGCCTATGGATGAGCGATTCAGAACACAGCAATATGATTTAAATATTATAACAGAGGAAGAATGATTTCAATCAACTAAACGCAGGCTTTTCGGTTAAAAATGTGTATTTGTCTCATTGGCAAAATAAACAGGATTTGTGCAAAATAAGTCTATAGCTCAGTCGGACATGTTCAATATATGTGATCAGTCTCAGTAAATAATCTCCATATTTACCTGCGTATGCAGATGTGAAGACTAGCGAGCATATACAGTAACAATGATCAAATCCAAACCCCTCTGTTTGGTCAATAAACATCAGTGCTGTTTAATTCTGCCTCTCTTTTTCTTCAGCAGTTGATACTAATGTCAGACAGCAGCTGCATCACAGCAGACCTGTCAGACTGTGGAGCTGCAGCTGTGCTGCTGTCAGTGTGGCTCATCGCTCCTACAGCACACAACAGGCTGAGAGCGCAGAGGAGGAGACGCTCCACAGCATCATCAGAGACACAGAGAACATTCAAGGTACACTACAGTTAGGGGTGCAATATATTGATCTAAAGTGACATTTATAATGTCAAAGAATTACATTTCAAAAACTGTGGTTCCTTTCTATTCATCAAAGAATCCGAAAAAACAGCACAAATGTTTTCAACATTGATAGCATCAAATCAGCATATCAGAATGATTTCTGAAGGATCACGTGACACTGAAGACTGGAGTAATGATGCTGAAAATACAGCTTTGCATCACAGGAATAAATTACATTTTAAAATAGATTCTAATAGAAAATAGTAATTTTAAATTGCAATAATATTCCACAATATTACAGTTTTTTTTTTTTTTTAATAAAAAAAAATGCAGCCTTGGTGAACATCAGCCTTCTTGAAAAAATATTTTTTTAAATCTTACGATCCCAAACATTTGAATGGTAAAGTTTCAGAAACTTAAATTACAGTATATACTATGGTGTATTGAAATTGCAAGTATGTTTAAACTGTTGTGGTTTCTGTGTTCAAATAAGGATCCTACTCCAAACATGAGTTCCAAGCAGAGACGAAGAAACTGCTGGATATTGTGGCCAGATCGCTGTATTCTGAGAAAGAGGTGATAAATTAACATAAACAGATGTAATGCTGCCATGTTTGATCAGTTCTCTTGATGCGTTCAAGACTGTATGATCCTACAGGACTCAATCGAGTGATTAACCAATGCATTTTTCAGGCTGATTATTTGATTTCATCCAAGTTGTCATCATTAATGTTGTATTATGTATCTTGAATATATTGCTCACCCTGTAGATTTATTTGATAAAAAACTAATCAAATAAGTACATATTTAATCAGCTTGATATGGCTAAATATTGTCAGTTGTCTTATTGGAGACGTTTTACACTAATAAATATGGCATTTTAAGGATTGGATCCTGATTTATAACTAGAAAACCACCCCAGAAATATCTACATAAATTATAATAATATAACAATGCATGAATTGAAGAAAAGTCATATATATTGATCAGTCTGTAACTCAGTCTAACGGTCAGTGGTTTTCTGGCACACACCTGCTCTGTTAGGTGTTCATCCGAGAGCTCATCTCAAACAGCAGCGATGCGCTGGAGAAACTGCGGCACAAGATGATCACAGCAGGAGGAGATACAGCACCAATGGAGATCCACCTGCAGACAGATGCTGCCAAAGACACCTTCACCATCCAGGTACCTTCAACCCATACAGCTCCTCCATCACGGCTCTGTGAGGGGCTCAAGAACAGAATCATGCATTAGAATCAGATTAAATAGCTGTTAATGCTACTTTTTTCATGCTACTCCTGTTCCATTACCCATCACTTTATTTAAATTCTCAAGACCAATAGTGTTGTAAGGGAAAAAGATGAAGAATAGCATTTCTATCGCCAATTTGTGTAATTCCAAAGCGGTTTTCAGACATTTTAGTCATACAAACAATCAACTATCTGCATAACTTTCCAGTGCAAATGTGCCTCTGCGTGGGCATAGCAGTCATTGCAGATACAAAGGCGTGTGATTGGTTGTACTGCTCAACACTGCAAAAAGCAATAAATGAAAATAAATTTTTGATGCAACATGAGCAGATCTACAGTCATGGCCAAAAGTTTTGACAGTGACATAAAATTTGTGTTTTGCAAAGTTTGCTGCTTCAGTGTTTGTAGATTATTTTTCCACATGTTTCTATGGTATACTGAAAAACAATGATAAGCATATCATAAGTTGTAAAGGCTTTTATTGGCAAAAAAATATAATGAGTCAATATTGACAGTGTTGACCCTTGTTCTTCATAACCTTTGCAATTCGCTCTGGCATGCTGGATATTAGCTTCTGGGCCAAATCCTGACTGATGGCGATCCATTCTTGCCTTATTAGTTCTCAGAGTTGATCACAATTTGTGGGCTTCTGCTTGTCCACTCACCTTTTGAGGACTGACCACAGGTTCTCTATAGGATTGAGATCCAGGGAGTTGCCTGGCCACAGATCCAAAATCTCAATGTAATGATCTTCGAGCCACACTCATTGACACTTTCACATGTGCTGCTGATATGATTAGTCAATTAATGTTAGCTGGTCATTTTGTGTTGCGATCAAAAAACAGTGAAATTTGTTTTATTGTGAAAAATAAATTTTTTGGCCAATGAAGCTTTTAGCAATTATTTAAAATGCATCTGATCACTCTACACAATAATCTTCACACACAAAAAATAAATAAATAAATTGACTGTTTTTTGATCCTGACACAAAATGACCAGCTAACATTAACTGACTAATTATATCAACAGCACATGTAAAAGTGTCAATGAGTACTAGTCAAGTGAAAATTATTATTAGCAATTATTTAAAATGCATCTGATACACTCTACACACAATAATCTAGAAACAATGTGTAAAACACAAAATGTATGTCACTGCCAAAACTGTTGGCCATGACTGTAAATATAATGCTGCAATTGACACTTCATCCATTTTCACATCTCACTTTAATCATGTCATTGCATTTAGTTTAATTGTGAGGGGGCTTTTTTTTGCCCTCGTATCTTGAGCTTACAGTCTTATTCATTAAAGCAGCTGAACCACTGTGACTTACATTATTTACCTTTTCAATAAATATAATGAAGTTCACAATATCTCTGCAGGTTCACTTGATAAATATGTCTTATTATAAAATATTATCTATTAAACAATGTAACTACAAAATGACAACTGAAATATGCATTTAAAGCACTCATTTGTACATATTTTAATTAATAGACAATTATATGCATGTGTAATTTTTCATACATTCAATTTAAATAATTATAATTATGTAAAATATTAAGTATTTACATATTTTAAAATTACATTATATATACAAATTATTTAATGTTGTTTTAAATTAATTCGCCTGTTATATCATTTTACAACTGAAATATACATTTAAAGCACTAATTCATACACAATTTATATGCAATTCTACGCATCTGAATTCAACAGTATGAACTTAATTTTAAGTAATTTAAAAAATCTAATATTTACATATTTTAAAATGACATTATACATATAAAAATTATTTAAAAAAATAATGTTATTAATTTTAGTTTTCCGACCCTAATTTGCACTGATCTTATAACTTGGCCTCTCTGCAGTCCACCTGAAGAAAATTAATTGTAGCGACAGAGCAGTTTAATGCCTGTGTAGAACGTATTGATCAACAGTTTTCTGCTCTGATTTGTAGGACACGGGTGTTGGGATGAACAATGAGGAGCTGGTGGCTAATCTGGGCACCATCGCTCGATCTGGATCAAAGGTGCGTCTCACTGAACTCTGCTGTTCCTCATTCTGACAGTAGGTTTTATTTCATGGTCCTCTTGCTCTTCCTCCATCAGGCTTTTCTGGATGCTCTTCAGAATCAAGCGGAGGCCAGCAGCTCCATCATCGGTCAGTTCGGTGTGGGCTTTTACTCCGCCTTCATGGTGGCTGATAAAGTGGACGTTTATTCTCAGTCAGCAGAACCAGGCTCTCCTGGATACAAGTGGTCCTCAGATGGGTGAGAAAAATCAGAAGACAGATGAATTTAATAACAGTTTTAGGAATGTGCTTTTTTATTCATGCTCCTTGAAAAATCATAATCATGATTATTTCGGTCAATATTGTAATCATGATTATGTTAATAATCGTTGGAAGCCAAAATCGAAATCAAAATTGAACTTTGATGAATCGCACAACCCTCATAATCATGATTATTTCGGTCAATATTGTAATCATGATTATGTTAATAATCGTTGGAAGCCAAAATCGAAATCAAAATTTAACTTTGATGAATCGCACAACCCTACTTTTCTGTTTTGCAGAGGTTGTGACCAAGTACAGCAACTTTGTCAGTTTTCCCATCTTCCTGAACGGACGGCGGTTAAACACCCTGCAGGTATGTGAAGTCTGTTGATGAATGACCTTTGACCTCCCTGTGGCTCTGATGATCAGTCCTGAGCTGTTTTTCTCTCTCTCTGCAGGCGCTCTGGATGATGGAGCCCAGAGACCTCAGCGAGTGGCAGCATGAGGAGTTTTATCGCTATGTGGCTCAAGCCCATGATAAACCCCGCTACACACTGCACTACCGCGCAGACGCTCCGCTCAACATCCGCAGCATCTTCTACGTGCCGGAGATGGTGAGTGTGAGATGACGACTGAATCAGACAAATACACAATGACTGACAAAATAGTGTAACTTACAGTCGCTGAACCACTGTGACTTACATTAATTACCCTTTCAATAAATATAATAAAGTTCACAATATCTCTGCAGGTTCACTTGTCAAATACAGTATTTCTTCTTCTTATAAAATATTACCTATTAAACATAATATATAACGTCATTTAACTGAAAAATGACAACTAAAATATGCATGTAAAGCACTAATTCATACATATTTAAATTTATATGCGGCATATAAATGCATTTACATTTAAATTACTGTAAAAATTGTACATACATAAAATCAAGTATTTACACATTTTAAAATTACATTATACATATAAAAATTATACAAATACATAAAATGTTATTTTAAAGGGGTGGTTCACTAGTTTTTTTCTAGGCTTGATTGTGTTTATGGGGTGCAGTCTAACATGTGTTAATGCTTAGTTTAAAAAAAAACGCATTATTTTTCACATAATTTACCTTTATTCCACACAGCTCTGTCCCTTCTCTGAGAAACT